CCAACTTTATTGATGATGAATTACTCCACGAGATCCAAATTATGTAAAAAGGTTGATCTTTTATTTTTAACCAATTGGTGAAACGAGAAGAAACAAATGTCCTAAATGAGGGTTTAGGACAACCAAACTGCGCCCCAGGCTACTATTTTGGCCGATGTTGTAGGGGGATGATCATGTTGATCTTGCTTAGCAGACGCACAGTACGATTAATTTCATTTTAGAAAATAATATTATTTAATATAAAAGAAATCTAACAAGATTCATTTTTGTTAATTTTTTATCTTTTAAATTTTTAATTCATATTATATATTAGAGATTAATCTAGTACTTTTACATATCCTTATATTAAAAGGTACCTTTAATAGTTTTACTGTTAAACACTCTGATTTTTTTTTTTAAATACTTTTTCAAAACCACCAACCAAAATCTGCTTGCTCGCCATGGTTGTGACTTTCTTTTTTCATATTATGTGAGCGGCACGGCCGAGGCCTATGGGAGGGGTATTTGGGTCATTGTTAGTAATTGGGGAGATCTCTATTTAAACACTAGTTGTGCACTATTTTTACGTATGAATAATCATATCAGAATTATCAAATCCCTAATCTCTCTTCAATTCCCAATTCCCAACCCTAAACTCTCAATTCTCAACCCTAATTCATCTATTTCTCATCCCTAATTCATGTTCGTAACTACCGTATTCCTCACAATTGGTATCAGAGCTGTGTTCGACATGAGCTCAGCAAGGAATTCTGGCGGGGACCGGGGCGAGTCGACCATCGATTGCTTGCGGGGCGTTTTGGCGCGGCTGGCGCGCGCGGAGGAGGAGCTTCAGGTGGCGATAGGCGAGGCGCGGGCGGTGGCCGAGGGTCGCATACCCTTGATCGCGACTGCGACGGAGAGGGCAGAGGCGAAGGAGGCGGCGGCCGTGGCAAGGGAGCTGGAGGGCGCCGGCGAATGGGCCGCTGCGGCCGATGCAAGCGAGAGCCGAGAGGCTCGGGTCGCGCGCGCGGAGGGGAAGAAGGATGGGGAGGAACCGACCGCGCGGAGGGAGAAGACAGGCGGGGGCGGTGAATCGATCTCGGCCGTCGCGGCAGTTGAGACGGCGGGGTCGGCGACGATGAGTTTCAAGGCGCAGGTCATGGGGGAATGTGGAGTGGCCCTCGTCGATAGTGGGGCTTCTCTCAATTTTGTCAATACAGAGTTTGTGAAGCGGTTGCAGTTGCCAAGGTCAGCCATTGAGTCCTTTGATGCGAAGGTGGCTAATGGGGCTCCACTACGGTGTGCAGAGAAGCTAGTAGGGGTTCCCGTGATGATTCAAGGGCTGATAATCCCTCTCGACCTATATATACTGCCGTTGCACGGATCCGACCTGATTCTGGGCATGCCATGGCTCAAGAGTCTGGGACCGGTGACGAGTGACTGGGTAGAGATGGTGGTGAAGTTCAAGTGGAGGGATAAGGATTGGGAGCTGCGAGGGATGACGACAGCGACCGGACCCATCAACTGGGGCGATCCCCAGATCGAGGAGGACTTGGAGCTGGCCATCATTTGCTGGCCGATGGAGCGCGGCGAGGGACAGGCTCGAGCACCGGACTTGCAGTTGCTGTTGCACCGATACGCTAGTCTATTTGCTTAGCCTACCAGCTGCCCACGAGACGGCAGGTTGACCATCGGATTAGACTCAAGGGAGGCACTGAGGCGGTTAACGTTCGATCGTACAGGTATGCACATGCTCAGAAGGAGGAGGTAGAGCGCCAGGTGGCCGAGATGATGACCGCGGGGTTGATTCAGGCAAGCTCCAGCCCGTTTTCGTCCCCGGTGTTGCTGGTTAAAAAGAAGGATGGCACTTGGAGGTTCTGTACCGACTACAGGGCCCTCAATGCAGTAATGGTTCGAGATCGGTTTTTGATTCCGACTGTTGATGATATGCTTGACGAGTTGCGAGGGGCAAAATATTTCACGAAGCTCGACCTACGAGCTGGTTATCATCAGATACGCATGCACGAGGAGGATATTCCGAAGACTGCATTCCGGACACACAGTGGCCATTACGAGTATCTCGTGATGCCCTCGACATTCCAGGCATCCATGAATGACATTTTTCAACCTCTCCTACGCAGGTCAGTGCTGGTATTCTTTGATGATATCTTGGTTTTCAGTAAATCGTGGGAGGAGCACCTACAGCAGTTGCAGGAGAATCAGTTTTTTTGTGAAGGAATCCAAATGTGCGTTCATAGTACAGGAGGTGGATTATCTGGGGCATGTGATATCGGGATAGGGAGTTCGAGTGGATCCGCGGAAAATTCAGTATATGATGGACTAGCCAGTGCCGAGGAGTGCGACGGCCTTGAGGGACTTCCTGGGCTTGACCGGGTATTATCTGCACTTTGTGCAGGGTTACAGCTCGATAGCCGGACCGCTTAATGCACAATTGAAGAAAGGAGGGTTCAGTTGGACCCCAAAGGCCGAGAGTGCTTTCGAGGCACTCAAGGTGGCCCTATCCATGACCCCAGTCTTGGCACTACCAGATTTTTCCCAGCCATTCGACATCGAGACAGACGCGTCGGGCAGAGGAATTGGTGGGGTGCTGTCACAGGATAAGCATCCCATTACTTTTATGAGTCGGACCCTTCCTCCCTCCAAGGAGGCTTGGTCAACATACCAGAAGGAGATGAATGCTATCACAGAAGCTGTACAGATGTGGCGCCCTTACCTGATCGGCCAGAAGATTCGTATCTATACTAATCAGAGTTTGAAGCATCTGATGGATCAGCGGTTGTCCACTCCAGATCAGCACAAATGGGTTGGTGAAGTTGATGGAATATGATTATGAGCTACATTACCGGCCGGGGCCGATGAATAAGGCCGCAGATGCCTTGTCACGAGTGGAGCTTGAGCCGCAGGTGGCAGCTGTGACCGGGTCAGTGGTGCAGTTCGGGGATGAGGTCAGGAAGGCAGTAGAGACGAGCCCATACCTGAGGGAGAGGCGCGACGTTGCTTTGAGCGTGACCCCGGGCGATTACTCGTTCCGCCATGGGCTGGTATACTTTAAAGGGCGGGTGGTCCTACCGGTGTCCACTTCTCTTACAGCGACGGTGATGAAGGAGTTCCATGAATCCCCGGTTTGTGGGCACTCAGGGAACGAGAGGACGCTGAGGAAGATTCGCAGTCAGTTCTACTGGTCGCAGATGGGTCGCGAGGTTAAGGAGTATGTGGCCTCTTGCGATACTTGCCAGAGGGTCAAGGCTTCCTTGCTACGACCGGCAGGCTTACTACAGCCATTACCAGTACCGGAGCGGGTCTGGGAGGACATTAGTATGGACTTCATAGTGGGGTTGCCGCCGTTCGGAGGGAAGACCGTTTTATTTGTGGTGGTTGGCTGGCTCACGAAGTATGCGCACTTCATGGCGTTAGCACACCCGTATACAGCCAGGAGTGTAGCAGAGCAGTTCGTTTGGGGAGTGATCCGGCACCACGGCTTTCCCCGGTCGATCGTGAGTGATCGGGATGCACTTTTCTTGGGCAGGTTCTGGCAGGAGGTGTTCTCGATGGCGGAGACAGAGCTGAAGATGAGCTCTGTGTATCTCCCGCAGACGGACGGACAGACGGAGGCCGTTAATAAGATACTCGAGCAGTATCTACGATGTTTTGCACACCAGCAGCCGCGTCGGTGGCTGGCTATGTTGCCCTCGGATGAGCTGTGGTATAATACCACCTATCATCGGTCGATCCAGATGTCGTCGTTTGAGGCTTTGTATGGCCGTACACCACCTATGCTGGTACGGTACCAGTCCAGGGCGAGTGCAGTGGATGTTGTAGACAGGTGGTTTGGCCGAATGAGACACAGCCCTGCAGCAACTGAAGGCCAACTTGGCCGCGTCCAACAATCGGATGAAGCAGCAAGCCGATTTGGGACGCCGGGATGAGGAGTTCGTGGTGGGGGACTGGGTGATGCTCAGGTTACACCCATACAGGCAGACTTCGGTGTTCCGCCACGCATACCAGAAGCTTGCAGCTCGCAATTTTGGTCCCTATCAGGTGCTCGAGCGGATTGGGCAGTGGCCTACCGTCTGCAGCTTCCGGCGACCGCCCAGATTCACTCTACATTTCATGTGTCTCTCCTGCGCAGGTATCGGGGAGTAGAACAGCTGGCAACACCACTGGAGCCGCCCGTCGATGGGGAAGGGTGACTTGAGCTCGAGCCCGAGGGGGTGCTAGATGTACGCTGGGTGAAGCAGGGAAGGAAGCACGTGACAGAGAGTCTCATACAGTGGAAGCACCTCAGACCAGAAGAGGCGACCTGGGAGGATACTGAGACCATTCGTCAGAACTACCCTACATTCGATCTTGAGGACAAGCTCGGTTCCGAAGGGGAAGGGAGTGTGAGCGGCACGGCCGAGGCCTAGGGGAGGGGTATTTGGGTCATTGTTAGTAATTGGAGAGATCTCTATTTAAACACTAGTTGTGCACTATTTGGGTCATTGTTAGTAATTGGGGAGATCTTTATTTAAACACTAGTTGTGCACTATTTACGTATGAATAATCATATCAGAATTATCAAATCCCTAATCTCTCTTAAATTCCCAATTTCCAACCCTAAATTCCCAATTCTCAACCCTAATTCTTCTATTTCTCATCCCTAATTGTTGTTCGTAACTACCGTGTTCCTCACATATTATCATTAAATTTTAACCGATACATCCAAACAATATATAGATATATATTATTATTCCTATCAAACACATTCATGTTCCATGGAATATAATTGTACTTCCCACCATGCTTAGAGCTGCTTGAAACTTGTTTAAAAAAGTCAGTTGCACATAGTTTATGGAAATGGAAGTAGACCAGCTAGTTCGTTGACCACCTCCATGAGGCACTGCCTTGGAGTAGAAGGCAAGGGAGGCTGTCAAAGACTTTAGGGGCTTGTCGTTGTCAACCTACTTCTCTTACTTTGTTTTTATTTGGACTTCCCCTACTCCAACTAATTTGCTGCATTTAAATGAGCCACCAAAACTCCCAGTACCATATCCTCAAGTCAAGCCAATATCATGTCATACATTCCACATACTGTTTCCACTGTGGTCATGGAGGTTGCTGCAGAATCACCCCAAGAAACAGATCTGTTAAGCTGCAGTTTACAAGAAGCAGAGGAACAAATGGAGCTGATAAACAGAGAATATCGAAAGGTTCTTATGAAAATAGAAACGCAAAAGGTATGAACAAAACAACTTGGAAGAAATTATAGTGTCTTTGCTGATTGTTGTCATTCCAGTACTAATCAAACTCGTTTCCAATGTTTCACCAGCTTGAATTAGCCCCGAAAACACGGTCCCTCTTCAATCTGGAACGTCACATTGAATCAATGAGACGCACTGCTGCCTGTAGAAAGGAAAGACTGGACCCTCTCCATCTTGCGATGGACAAGCTGAGCTTCGCAAACAATGCATACCGAGACAATGCCATCAAGCATTCATTCTTAGAAGAGCAAGAAATCGATTACCGGGTAATGAACATGTGTATCGTTTTTTTTTTTTTTGTGTTTCCCCTTTTTCATGAACATCTGCTGATTGATTCATTTCCGCTTGTATCAACATACTAAAATGTCACGGTACAGAGATTGAACTTCAAAATGAATCATGGAAGGAAAAGCTTTCAGATAGAGAGACGACTCCTGAGCGAAATCAAAACAAAGGAGGGAAAGGGCAGCAACACTACTGATTCGTTGCCGCCACTTGAAGTTATTGAGTCCAAAGTAAGTCTTGTTTGAAATTCTGCTTTACTAGCGAGTGTAGGTAAAATAGTGGTAATACTGCAAGTGTAGAATTTGATGATGCGGAATAACATGAACACGAGACAAATGATTTTACGTGGTATCCTCGATCGATTGATCGAGACTAATCCACGGTGAGCTCATAAGAGCTCACAACTGATCTCTTATTAAGATTACATCTTGACGGCTTACTATCACACAAGTCGATAGCTAAGCTTATATAGATAAACTTAGGGTTAAAACCCTAATCCAACGAATCAGACGAGGCCCAATACTAACACGGTTTAAGTAACCGCAACCGCAAGAAAAGCTAATTAATGCGGTTTTGTTTTTCAGATCAGAGGAGCACAGTACATGATCAGATTCAGTACAAATATGGCTACGGGCAAAGACGGGGCTGGAGATCAAGAGCTTCGCCGGCAGCTGAAACAGCTGGAATTGGAGAGGGAGAAAGTTGTTGCTAACTGCGTTGTGGGGGGAAAGATATGGAGTTCTTTGGGTTCGATAAAAACCATCAAAGAATGTATTGAGGTAAGTGAGACACAGCCCTGAAGTTGAAACAGCTTTAGCGCAATGATCGAAACTTTGATATATGTTACATCTTTGATTCATATGGATCATTACAGGCAGAGCATAAGGAGGCAGAGGACTCAAAGGAAGATCGTCGGAGGTTGCAGGTTGAGATTAAGCGTGTTAAGGAAAGTTTGAAACCTCTGGAGGAAGGGCATAGCTCAGTGCAGAGTCAGCTGAATGATCTGCGTAGAAGAGAGCAACAAGTACGGGAGCAAATTCTTGATCTGAAGAAACAGCTCGCCAGGCGTCCGACCAAAAAGAGAACGAAAGAAAGAGTGAAAACCAGCAAGACGAATCAACTGTAATAGTTACTTTGTTGTAACTAGTGTATGAAATTTGCAGGCGTACTTAAACCCTACTTGGCAGAGTACTTGCTTCTTTGAAAGGGAGCTCTGCGCTGCACCAGAATTATCTCCCTTTAGACAAAGAAACAACCAAGTTTATCCTTTCTTATGGTGACTTACAAGTTATCGTGGTGATTCGGACGTCACATTTATCATGCTGCAATGAAATTGTATAATTACAAAAGGAAATAATAGTTAAGTGCTCCAAAAGATTGTTCGACAGGTTGGTCATTGCCTTATCAGTGTTGGAACAAGATTCCACCACAGAAAATGATTCAGTATTTAATACAGACCATGCTACCATTTAACTCGAGTTAATATCAATATAAGCTTTCTATACGTTGTTAGTTTATCACTTTAAAGCCGGTGTAGCAAACTCTGTGTTTTTGTGTGCATCTTGTCTTCAATTCGGTCCACTTGCATACCAAGAGATTATTAGCCATTTCTATAAGTTGTTAGTTTATCACTTTAGAACCGGTGTAGCAAATTCGTGTTGTTGTGTGCATCTTGTCTTCAATTCGGTCCACCTGCATACCAAGAGATTAGCCATTTCTATGGATTGTGGATACGATTGGTTCTCCAGTCAACCTCTATGTCATAATACAAACTACAAAGCCAATATGTCCCGTTGAGGTAGGTATATTCCCTTACATTCAATCCACCTATGAAAACAAGCGATCAACTGTTGTTTTTTCTTTGTATTGATGGAGTTCTTTTGTAAATGTGTCATCTGGTCAATCGAGTTCTCGAAAGCGATCAATTCTCATAGAAGCTAAGTTGTATGATGCTTCTTGCGGCTTTGGAACTTTTTTGATATTTTTCTTCCCCAGGTGATGTAAGTGCGGTTTCTTCTCATTTCTAACGAGGGAACTATGGCTTTTGCACTTATAAGCCATAAGTCATAAAACCCTTAATTACTTAAATTGAAATAGTCATTTTTTAAAGAACACCAGAAAAGTTGCAGTTGCAGACACCCAATTACCATAGGGGGTGCACTCAGGGGCGGAGCCAGGATTTCGAGACCGGGGGGGCCGAAAATAATTAATTAATAAAAAATTTATAATTATTTTAGAAGTATAAGACGTTCTTTGATCATTGAAATCACTCAAAATAACATCTAAACTAAAACTTTTGGCTGTCATTTTTCCGTTTGAAATTGGGAATGTTAATGAAAATTGAGACTTAAAATTAATTAAACTAAATAAAAAAGGTGGCTTTTTATCGGTACTCTCTCACAATAAATGGGGATTTCGGTTTTGTTTGGGGAATTGTAGAGGGGGAGTAAATTAATGAAGATTAAAAAGTTGGTAAAGAAAAATAAAAATGACGGTTTTGTTTGGGGAATTGTAGAAGGGGAGTAAATTAATGAAGATTAAAAAGTTGGTAAAAAAATGAAAAAGACAAATGTGATCTTGTGGATTGAACTCATGTCCTTGAAAACAAAAGTCAAGCTTGACTTCCATTAGACTATACACCTTTTACATAATAGGATTTACAGAACAAGTAATACTTATATAATTTGTACAAAATATCCTTAATATCCTAGGGCCGAGACTAATCCCGGGGGGCCGGGGCCCACCCTACCTTGAACATAGCTCCGCCCCTGGGTGCACTAATTTGATGAAGAATTCTGAGATGGGCAGTTAACCCTGTTCCACATCCTTTTTCATTCAACACAACTGATTAATGAAATAAATAATCAAGAAGTAAGAGAAACCAGGGGAATTTAGTCATTTCAGCAATCCATCTTACAATCCATTTCAGCAACCAGTATTATCTATCCCAAAAGCTGTATATTCTTAACAATCCATCACTTTTAATAATCAATCAGACAAACTACCCTTTTTTCTAGATGTCATTTGTTAAATATTTTAGTTGAAGAAGTAAACGAGATTAGTTGAGTCTTTGACCATTTCTGAAGGTGAAGGCATTACCTTGGCGTGGAAGGCAAGCATGGGAGGTTGTCAATGGTGTCAACTTATTCTGCTTGGTCTAAATAAGCCACCAAAACCCCTCGCTGCCATATTCCTTTAACCAGCAACCATCAACAGCCACTGTGGTAATGGAGTTCACAGCAGAAGCTCCCCGAGACCCACATTCTTTAAGATGCAGTTTACAAGAAGCAGAGGAACAGATGAAGACAACAACCCGAAAAATCCAGGAGATTCATAAGAGAATAGCCAATAAGGAGGTATCAACAAGTAACTTTCTTGAAACCCACATAGCCTAGTACTGTTGGGATTCCAGTACTGATCAAACCCGTTTCGTTGTTTTACCTAAACTCAGGCTATGTGTAAAAAGCGGGATTTTACGAAAACTGTTTGGTCAGTTAGTCAGTACTCGGTACCCTTTCTGGCGAACTACATACCGTGTTATTGTTTGGATGGATTTGATTGGATCAGGTCGCGCCATCTGAGCTTGAGCATTTGCTTCAGTCCCGTCCAGATATACTCGAGGCAGCTGTGGTCCCGTAAGTTAACATTTGAGTTTGTAAAGAAGTTAACCATGTAAATGAATAGAGAGTGAAGAGGTTCTGGTGGTGAAATTTTTGGCAGGTTGCCTGACGAGAGAGTGTTGGGATGAATAGCTTTGAAAAGCTATAATGAAATTCCTAATTAATTATCCAGTATTTTCCCATAATACGAAATTAAGATGGATAATTAATAAAATGAATATTATGGAGATAATTAGGAATAATTATCTTAATAGATTATATTTTAATTATGAGAGTAATTATCTCTCTCATTAAAATGTGACTTATTCCCAAAGAAAGAGGGAAAAGATATGGAGTTCTTTGGGTTCGAGAAAAACCATCAAAGAATATATTGAGGTAAGCTAAGACATAGCCCTGAAGTTGAAACAACTTAACGCAGTGATCTCTTGCGCGCAACTTTGATATATGTTATATCTTTCTTCCATATATTTTACGTAGTATTTTATTCATTATGGAAGACTTTCGTAGTACTTTTGCTTAATTGATGCATGAGAAATAATTATCCCTCCATAAAGTTCATGACACGGTATTTCAAAATCTTCCATAATGTGTGGTCTAATAATAAAATCAAGTTACAGAAAAGTATAACATCTGATAAAACTATTATGTAAAAGTTAACTTACCTTCAATGAATTTTAGTTCAAACTTATATCACGGAAGACATATGCAATATGTTTGTTTCTTAATAATCATGGAAGAAAAACGTACTGCTTTTTGTTTAATTGACAGATACGAAATAACTATCCCTCTATAAATTTTACGTAATGTATTTGTAATTTACTTAAATGTTATAGGATGGTGTTATTAAATCTTCCGTTATGTGTGGTCTAATAATAAATCAAGTTATAAAAAGTATCATATTTGATGGGTCAGACTGGTGTACGTCAGGCGTATACTATACGCCAGGTACTACTAGTGAGATATCTCTATCTAGACCATGAATTAAACCGAGTTTGGGGTATGATACTATACCCTAACCTCTAATGGATAAACCCCAGGCTCCGATTTTCTAAACCCCAACCCGAAGTTTAATTTAATGAAAAACAAAAATTAACCGTTGAGATCGGTCGGAGCTCATCTAAGTACATCTAACGGCTAGATCACCTGACGTATAGTATACGCCTGACGTACACCAGTCATCACCCATATTTGATTAAACTACTATATAAAAGTTAACTTGCAATATGGAACTATACTACGCACAAATAATAAATCAAGTTATGAAAAGTATCACATTTTATTAAATTATTATATAAGAGTTAACTTTTCTTATCGAACGGTGCGTCATAAAACTTTTGTAATATATGGCTTAATAATAAAATCAATTTGTTGAAAGTATCATTAAAATTTTATGTAGAAACTTATCTTACGGAACTTTGTTTCGATAATATGATGAATATTGTAGTTAAACTTTGTAGTTAAACTTTAACTTATAAAGAAATTAAAAAGGATTGAGATGCTAATAACTTAAAAATTCGTAATGGTAAAAAAAAAAAAATCAGATAGACATACAAGTAAATTGAAAAAGATTGGTATGCTTTGTAAACCGCCAGCTAAGATACACACACGCGCATGGGATTACAAAACACTAATGAACAGTAATTAAGCTTTATTATGGTAAATAAAGAAGTGATCCGTTTTTCTCGTATGCAACAGTGACCCGCAATTTGGGTTACTTGTACTTTTAATTAATTAATAATTAATAATAATTAATTACTTTTCTCCTTTCGGATTTCCTTGTCAGTGTTAGATGCGGATTCCTTTTCTTTTTCCCCCGATATCAAGCGGATTTCTTTTCTGTTTATATAGTTCGAGTCAAACAATTGGTAGAAGGATGTTCAATTAAAGTCGGAGAAGAAGTAGTAGAAGAAGACAGGGAGGATGAGGAAGAAGTGGACCATCAGAAAATGTCAAAGACTAAGAGGTTGCAGCAGCAGCGGAGGGCCAAGTTGGATTGAGCTGCCGGTGGAAATCACGAGAATCGTGTTTGGGCGTTTGAGTTATTTTGATCAAATATGTTGCCGTAGCGTGTGTAAGAGCTGGCGAGACGTTCCCCCAGTTCCACCCTTAGACCAAAACTGCCTTCCATGGATGTTTCTGCTGTGCGCCGAAGACACCAAGGCGGTAAACTCAATGGAACGGCAGCCAATGATGTTTGATCCGTGGAAACAAACCTCGTACCCGCTGACAAAAAGAAGGCAGTTCGGTAGTCGTGGCAGCAGCAGCAGAATAGTAGCGTTTGATTCCCGAAAAGGTTGGCTTCTCATGGGCAAAGAAGCATCAGAAGAACAAGAGACCAGAGCAAAAGTCCAATTGTTCCTCTACTCTCCGTTCAGAGACCAGATGATGAACCTCCCCTCACTCTCTGTACCAGGAAAAGTGGCTGCCATCACTTTTGCTCCTCCAATTGATCACGATTCATCCACCATCCAAGTATTCGCCATCTCCATCCTTCACCGCAGCACCTACGAACCCTTTTGTCAGAAGCGTCGCTGCCAGAGCGAGATCACGGTTGGTACATGCCAGGCAGTAGTACTAGATGAAGCTGATGCGGCAACTACTAACAGTAATTGGACTATGGAACTAGAACCCATCTTCCACCCTGCCTTCCAAACAGAGCTCAGCTTGCAGTCGGTGGTGTACTTGAAAGGGACTTTCTACTGCCTTTTCCAGGATCTAGTGTTGGCGGGATTTGAGCTCTCGACAAGACGCTGGCGCTGGCTCGTTCCTCGACCAGTAGAGCCTCGCACCCCTAGCTGGCGCTGGCCCGCGGGGGGAATGTTCGAGTTCGATGGAAAGCTTGTTGTCAAAGATGGCCTGTATCGCAACTGTGTGGTATTTGATTTCGATACCGGAGGGTGGAGGCCTTCAACGGGAGATGACGACCATGTTGATGATTATGTGCGGTTCCAGTGCTCGAGCAACAAGACATCGTTCTATGCTTTGGGATCGCACAACCTCCCTCGTCCTGCTAAAGATTCCACCTTTGGGAATGATGGTGCTTTCCAAGCTTTTTCCAAGTACCCGACACCGCGCCTGCTGTCTACTATAAGCCTCCTGCGACCCAATCCCACAAGATTTTTTGCGCCCAATTATTGGCTTCTGCTCTCCAATCTTTCCTTGATCTCCCAGCGTAGACTGACTGGCGGCGACGCAAGTTCTTCCCCTTCGGTTTTCCCGGGTGTATCATCGGAATTCGATCTATACCGGTTGCCTCTCTTTCTATCCCACCGGAAACACCGCAAGCGGTCCGGATCACCGCAAGTCCCGCTCGCGCTCTTTCTTTCGTTTCGAAATTCCCATTATCGTTTGTTTCCTTCTCATCGTTGTCCTTCCTCTCCAATTGCCCATCCGTGATTTCCCCCGTCGACAGACTGGCGATTTGACCAGTTGGATCCCCTGATTTTATCGTTGTGCTCCTCTCGTCTTCTTTGGTGGCTGGCCAAATAGCAGCGATTTCCCTTCCGAATTCGTAGAAGCAGAGGCCAACAGAGAAGTGCCCTGTGTATCGTACTGATTCTCTTCTCTGCGAAATCAAAGCGACCAAGAGAGCCTAAGTGGTAAAGAGTCTGAGCGACTTCTTAACGGATCATGGATTCCCAAGTCCCAGCCATTTTCATACGGGTGGTTTATGACTCTGCTTGTCCAATTGTTCATCTATGATTTCATCTCCTTTCACTTTTGCCCCGATCGAAAGATGGCGGTGTTTGAGATTTTATTAGTCCAGATGGATAAAAAGAGAAAAGAAGACAGAAAGAGAAGCGGGTGGTTGTAGAAAGATTAGAGTGTGGTTCAACCAAATTTGTTGCTCCTCAGTTAAAACTTAAGAGCGTTGGTTATCTAATTTAGTTAATTCTAACATCCAGTTGTACATAAATATGTGCATGAATTACACATTGCACCAAAAACTTGACACTTGGGCACTTAATTACCAGCATGGAATCATTTCCTTATGATACCTTTTTTTTTTCTGGATCAGTTAAAATAAAATGCTATGTTTCTTTCTTCATTAATTCTTTTCTTTCATCTTACCATAATACCAATTTCATGGTTTTAACTTTTATCTAATGAATGATGGACTAACCAAAAGCATGGAATGGATTACTGGTTTCGTACAGGTCTCCCTCTTTTCTCTTTAGATTTATCATTTCTATCCTTTGTATATCTTATGTAATTAAGGATGAAAAGACGAGGAGTGACCAAATTTTTTTGTTATAGTTAAATGATTAAGTTAGTTCTGGCATTAAGATGAAATTTGTCAATCTGTGAAACATACACAATTGCTATGTAAATGTTTAGATTATTATTGAGTTCGTATACGTTCGATTGTCGAATATATATGCTCCCGTTTTCATTCGTAGACCGTAGTATTCCAAATTGAGGGAGAATTTGTACTCTTGGTCCAATCGAGGTTCTTCACCACAACTGATAACTTGAGTAGAGAACTTTTGAGTTGTGTTTACTCTTCCAAATCAAGCTTTGTTGGGCATTCAAGAAGATAATCGGAAATGAACGAAAATGGTCCTTCGGAACGTTGTAAACAAATTAACAAATTTAAAGGATAGTTCTATATACATTTCGTAACTAATTAAAATTACACCAAACAATACTTTTAGATCTTTACCAGACAATACTTTTAGACCTTTAGCAGTCACACGTTGCTCATTCCATTTATATTTTGCGACATACCCGCCGCAACGCGCGGGCCATTATTCTAGTGTGTATAAAATGAAGAGTAAATACAATTTAATATCCAAACCTTTTATTTTAAACAATATAATAGCCAAATTTTTTCGAAAACAATCTAATATCTAAATTGTCAACTTTCCGTTCGTTTGACCGTTAGTTGACACTTCTAGAAAGCTTTGTTTAGGAGAAATTGTCACAATACAACTTTGTTTTCTTGTTTTGGCATTGCAGATGACTAAATATTTAGATATTCTATACCATCATGGTGGAGTCGTGGACTTCTTGGGTTTGGAACTATGATATGTTGGTGGTTTTTCAGAGAAGATATCGATGGATATTAATGAAGTGTCGTACTTCGAACTTATTTGAAGTGTCAACTAACGGTCAAACAGACAGAAAGTTGACCATTTGGATATTAAATTGTTTTCGAAAAAGTTTGGCTATTATATTTTTTAAAATGAAAGGTTTGGATATTAAATTGTATTTACCCTAAAATGAATGAGTTCTTATAAAATTAGGTGAGCCAATTTGGCAAGTGTACAAAGAATATTGCATTAATTAGTTTGCGTAGAGTTTTTTTCCTAGATCTCACATGTAGCTTACTTATGTCACGATAAGTAGGGTTTGCTTTTTTGCTCATGAATTGATTTTGGGGTCGAGTATTGACCTTTCACTAACTAAAAACAAAGGTTGTAGAATGGAGAGTGGGGTAAAAGAAGGGGTTGGAACTTCCCTACTTGCACTTGGAGGAGTGTGAGAACCACTAATAAATAGTAACTCAAACTTAGACTTTAATATATTAGTTAATATATTAATGGATCATTTCAGGCAGAGCATAAGGAAGCTAAGGACTCAAAGGAAGATCGTCGGAGGTTGCAGGTTGAGATTAAGAGTGTTAGGGAAAGTTTGAAACGTCTGCAGGAAGGGCATAGCTCAGCACATAGTTAGCTTAATGATCTGTGTAGGAGAAAGCAACAAGTACGGGAGCGAATTCTTGATCTGAAGAAACAGGTAGCCAGACGTCCGACCAAAAAGAAAAGGAAACAAAAACGGAAGAAAAATCAGCAAGACGAATCAACTACAATAGTTACTTTGCTGTGACAAGTGGATGAAAATTCTGGAGTAAACCGTACTTGGCAGAGGACTTGATTCTTTGAACGGGGATATAAATATGAAGAGTAACGAGCTGGGGACTAGGGAGCTCTACGCTGCACCTTAATTGTCTCCTTTTATCCAAAGAAACAACAAAGTTTATCCTTTGCTATAGTGACTTACAAGTAATCACGATTTGGATAAAGTGGTAAATCATTTTACACAAAAGATAGACTTGATGATGCCGCATTTATCTTTTTGGAATGAAATTACACAATTACAAAAGGAAATTAAAGTCGACCGCTCCAAAAGAACATTCGACGGGGTGGTCATCAACTTATCTGCATTGGAACAAGATTCCGCCACTAGAAATGATTCAGTATTAAACAAGGACTCTGCTACCATTTAACTCAAGTTAATATCAATATAAGTTTCATTAAATAACGATCTACGTTATTACTTCATCACTCTAAAAACCGTTATAGCAAACCCCTACTGGGGTGTGCATCTTGTCATCAATTCGGTCCACCGGAAAACTAAGAGATCGACCTATTCAATGAACAGGGGATTGTTTGGTTCTCCGATCAGCCTTAATATGTCATCATACATAGCAAATCAGTCGGTTGAGATATATATATTTCCTTAAATTCGGTCGACCTATGAAAACAAGCGATCAACTGTTGTTTTTCTTTGTATTGATGAAGTATGGTTGTAAGTGTGTCATTTGATCGACTGGGTTTCTGAAAGCGATACACGATTGTTCTCATAGGAGCAATGTTGCAAGATGCTTCTTATTGTTGCTTTGGAATTTGTTTGATGTTCTTCTACCCCAGATTTCCCAGGCGATGTAAGTGCTGTTTCTTCTCATTTCTAACGAGGGAACTATGGCTTTTGCCACTCATTTGCTTTCCCTTAATTTCCTAGCTAATTAAATTGAAATTACCATTTTAGAGAACATCAGAGAAGTTGCAGTTGCATACTCTTTTTCATTCATCACAACTGATTACTGAAATAATAAAAATGAGAAATAAGGGCAAGTTACTCATTTCAGTTATCCATCTACTACAACCAGTATTATCTATCCCAAAAGCTATATATTCTTAACAACCCATCACTTTTAATAATCAACCAGACAAACTACCCCTTTTTTTTTAGATGTCACTTGTTAAATATTTTAGTTGAAGAAGTAAACGAGATTAGTTGAGTCTTTGACCATTTCTGAAGTGAAGGCATTTCCTTGGCGTGGAAGGCAAGCATGCGAGGTTGTCAATGGCGTTGGATGTTGTCAACTCTTTCTGCTTGGTCTAAATAAGCCACCAAAACCCCTCGCTGCCATATTCCTTTAACCAGCAACCATCAACAGCCACTGTGGTAATGGAGTTCACAGCAGAAGCTCCCCGAGATCCACACTCTTTAAGATGCAGTTTACAAGAAGCAGAGGAACAGATGAAGACGACAAACCGAAAAATCCAGGAGATTCATAAGAGAATAGCCAATAAAGAGGTATCAACAAGTAACTTTCTTGAAACCCACATAGCCTAGTACTGTTGGGATTCCAGTACTAACCAAACCTGTTTCGCTGTTTTACCAGGACGAAATAGCCTCCAACAGGTCGACCCTCAACGTGCTGAAGAGCTGCAATGAATCGTTCAGATATGGTGTTGCCTGGAGAAAGGAGACACTGGACCATCTCCATCTTGCCCTGGACAAGCTGAGCTTTGCAAACAATGCATACCGAGACAATGTCACAAAGCATTCGTTCTTAGGAGAGGAAGAAATCGATTACCGGGTAATTAACAATTTAACATGCTGTTGTTGATGACTCCGTGTAGAAATGTAGTCATAAATAATGTTTGTGCTACAGAGGATGAACTTCAAAATGATGCATGGAAAGAAAAGCATCCATGCAGAGAGACGAGTCGCGAGGGAAATTAAAACCAAGGAAGGAGAGGAGTCTCACTGTTCCATGTCCTCGCTGGAAGATGTTCACTCCAAAGTAAGCCCGATTACAAGTTCTGAGCAATTAGGAAAATGCAAAATAGTGCTTCTGTAAGAAAGCTGATGCAGTTTGTGTTGCAGATCAGAGGAATACAGTTCAGGGTGAGGTGCTATAGTAACGTCAATGGTAAAGAGGAGCTTCTCAGACAGCTGAAACAACTTGAAATGGAGAAGGAGAAAGTTATTGCCAACTGTGTTGCAGGGGAGAAGATATGGAGATCTTTGGGTTCGAGAAACGCCATTCAAGAACAAATTGGTGTGAGTGAAGCCTGGGTAGAGATGAGCTGTAATCAATTTTGTGCTTAACAAGTACCTCATTCGCTCATCTCTGATGTGAAACTTGTATATCTTCCTTCTGTTATTTTAAGGCCAAGCATAAGGAAGCAGAGGAGTCAAGGTGGGAACACTGGAGAGTGCAGGTTGGGATAAGACGTGGTAAAGAGAGATTAGAACATTTGCAGGAAAGGGATATCTCATTACACAATCAGCTGAACGATCTCCGAAGAAGAAAGCAAGAAGTACATCAGCACATCCTTGATCTGAGAGAACTGCAAAAGAATGAAGTCCAACAGTAACTTGTAACAAGTGTATGGTTCTGTTTTTGGTCTGGAGCACCACCAAACCAAATACAACATGGTTTACTTGGTTTCGTCAAGGATTATTCCATCCTGAGCTACCGAAAGAAAACAAAAAATTATGGATGTTAGGTCATTATCTTTCATTGCCCTACAACATTACTACTTGAAGAGGCTGAAAGATATTATAGAGGGTCTACGTGGCAATTAGGATCCAAATCTATGAATCCAATCCAATCCATCCACCAAATTATCCATCTAATTCAATCCATTTAAATCCAATCCATTTTATCTAACTCCAATTGGATTGGTGGATTCATGGATCAATCCATGTATCCAAATGGCAAATTACGATTTGATACCTATATTTTTTATATTTTACATTTTGGTACCTAAAATTTATATTTTTATACGAAAAATATCATTGGAAAATTACATTTTGGTACCTAAAATTTTTCATTATGACATTTTAGTACCAAAACTTTTCAAATTTTACATTTTGGTCCAAGCCTTGGATGTCATTTGGATTCATGGATCAATCCACCAATCCATTTGATCCATGGATCCACCAATCCAATCCACGAATCCACGAATCCGATCCAATTGGCACCTCTAAGAGGCTCTGGTTCGGAGAAAATTTATTTGCTTGACCATTATAAGAAGTACAAACAAAGGTAACATGAGTAGTTATGTGACTACTGAATTTGTATATTGATAGAAATGAATCAACATCTTAAAGTGGTTGTAACCGTGCGGATTCCTGTTCAGCTTTATCAAGAGCTTCTCTTAATAAATTTTTTTTTTTTTTGACAAATTAAGTGAAGGGAGCTCATTTGTCCAAGTTGAGTGAGAATGTTAGCCAGGTCATGTTTTTTTTATCCTTTCCCAAGTAATTAAAAGGGAGAAAAGATTAAAAGAAACATCTACCCATAACCTGCTTTGGGCAACACTCTAATGAAGTCACACAACAAAATTAAAGGAAGCGTACTTGAAAGAGAGCAACAACAGAGTTTTAGCTGCCACTCTATGGGTAGTCCAGCTGACAGTCCGCGTAATTTTACTCAAAACTATACAAAAGGACTTGACTCAAGCAGCTGACGAAAATCTCGAAGCACGGACCCAAAATGCGAATCCACCACCAACCCTTGGCTAAGTTGTTGAATCACAACTTCAAAATCACCTCCCACGGTAAGTGACTAGGCACACTTCTTGGGCAAGTGAAATGACATCTCTAGCAGCTAGCAACTCTGCAAGGTAGGGTTTGGACAAACCTTGAATTTTTCAAAATCTATCCTCATCGCCATTTTCAATTCGTAAACCCATGTCCACCCTATCTTTGCATGAGTGGAAGTTTTTTCTCCTAATTCTCGTGGTTTTTGAATACTCGTAAAATTTCCGCCCCACAAATACGAACCAAATTCAACTTATAACTAATGTAATCAACTTGAAGGCACATACCATATTTAGAGACTTTTAAACAAACATTATATATCATAAACTAACCACAAAAGTATGAGAAATATAACAAAATTTTAAATTCTTAGGGGAAATAAGGGTTGAACCTTAAAAGGTTGGATATATATGTATCGATGAAATAGAAAAAGTTAAATAAAGATGTTTGGGGTTATATTAATTTTAAATTTTAGTGAAAATGGAAAAGAAAAACATCATATATATGACAAGTAATTGAATGTGGGTAGTATATGCATTACTTGCAGGGGAAGTATTGGTTTGAGGATGGGCAGAGAGACCCAAATCCATCCCACCATTTTCTTTGTACTTATTACATACTCGTCACTTGCCGATCAACACTGAGATTTCTCTCGTTGACTAAGTTGAGATTGTCACCATGATTTACTGCATGACTTGAGATGTTAGTCTCATTGTTGTTTAGTAGTCAGAAAGAGTCTCGTCATATTTGATTAACATAGAAACAAAAATTTATGTTCTAAAATAATCTCCCTCCCCTAGTTTATAATGGTATGACTACAAGTTAAATCATTGAAAATATTCATTGATAAAAACAAGTCAAACCATTTGCAGTTGCTGAATGGACACAAGACGTGCTGTGCGCGGCAAGTAATCAATCACTCATTATATAATCCGAAATGAGGAGGGGGAAGATCATCCAATTCACAAAGCTTTGTGGGTATCCTTGAAATTGCAAACCAGAAGCTTTGATATGAGTCCAGTAATGGCTGAGAAGGAGGTTGACACATCCAAGCTCTGCCAACCTGCAAATCAAGAAAGCCAGCGGGAAAAGAGAATCGAAATCAAAATGCTTTCCATTCGAGATAAACTGGAGCAAATCTTGGTCAGAGATCCTCCAATTGAAGCTTCCCCATGCTAGTCTGATGTCACCTTGTTTACCTTCTTCATGAACAACCTAATGCACTTCTGGTTTCCTCTTCCCTTCTTCTGCCTTTTACAGAAGGACCGAGACAGCATCCGCTGGAAGCTGGAAGGCTTGAAGATGAGTGACAGAGGGTTCAGATTTGGTGTCATCGACAGGAAGAAAAAGTTGGATCTACTGCAGCAATCTCTGGACAAGCTGAGTTTCGCGAATCGGGCTTACCAAGATAGAAGAAGCATTAGAGCAACCACAATGGAAAAAGAAACCCATTACCATGTAAGTTGCAACACAATCTATGAACATCAATGTAATTGATCCCCACTATCCTTTTTTCTCAACATTGTTCTAAAGAAAGGCAGAGCCTTTTTTGTAACATCATTTGTTTTTGATCCACACAAAAACAGAAAAAACAGCTGCTGAATTTCCGAATGCAACATGGAAGGAAGAGCTTGGCTGCAGAGAGAAGACTCTTGAGAGAGACCAAGGAATGCCGGAAACACGGTTCTGCTACTGCTAGTTGTTCATGGGGATCATTTGAAGAACTTAATACTGTAGTAAAGGGCAAGAACGAGATTCGAAGTCAAATCCAAGTGAGGATTGCTCTGTCTGTCCCCTGCCCTGAGAAGATCAAAGCTGTAATTATTTATCTCCATGTTTCTTTCTTTCTCGTCATTTCGTTTTCTGGGTCTTTCAGGCGATACAAGGAGAATCAGAACAAGCGAGGAAGGAACATGTGGAAGTGAAGAGTAAGATTCAGCGTTTGTTGAAAGAGCTTCAGCTGGTCGAATTGGAGTTGGGCTGTCTGCAGAAGCGGTTGCTGGAGCTATGCTTCACAAGACAGGAAGAAGAAGAAGGATTCCAGGTTTATCCATCTTCCCGTGCTCTACTCTATATGAGAGTATTGGAGGTACAAAACCAACGCACATATAGAGCTAAAAGAGATTCAAGAGAAATTATACACTGATAAACAAAAAAATGCTGTTACATTGATTGTACAGTCCACAATTGAACAGTGTAAAATCAATTTAAACCAGCAGGGAAATGAGAGATCATCGATTGTTCTTACCAGCATATGTTACCATCAAGAACTCCTCTTTTTTCCTCCATGTTGTCTTCTTCTCATTCTGTTGTTTCGCCTGCTTCTTTCCCTCAACCTTCCAAACAAAAGGTTTAACCAAACTCTCCAAACAATAAACCGCATCAAAGTAAACATCTTCTGGCGGCCCATCAACCTCAACGACATCAACCCGTTCCTTCGATGGATCATACCACGCAAAGCAACTACGGTCCAACATGAACAGCATTCGGCCCTCCCAAAAGCCCAAAGCCAAAGCCCATCGACGGCCCACTGCAGAATCTCGAATCGAGTACAGCCGATTCCAACACCGTCCTTTCCCCTTCTTCCCGGGCTCTTCCATCGCCCAAACGTCGAGTCGTTCGGCATCTTCGTAAGCCGCGCAGACGCACAACCCGCCGGAACCTAAAGCTCCGATCGTCAGAATAAAAGGCCGATCGCCGAATTCCGGCTGCGGCAATTCGTAAAACTCGTCGGACCCGAGATCCAGAGACACGATTACCCGCGGCCCGAATAAATCACCGCACCTTCCGCCGATCCAATGCAACCCGCCGCCGGCGGAGACGCCCATCCGGTGAGGACCAAACGGAAGGGACGGCATGTTTACCACCTTGCGAGATCTCGCCCCCAAGCTGTAAATCTCGGCCTGCGGCTCCGACTGATCATTGAACGACCCGATTCGCACCGCCTTATAGTCGTGGGTAATCGGGTCGTACCCGAATCCACGACCGGCCAATTGGGCCCCGGCCCAGAGAGAGAAATTGTGGAGATAGTTATTGACATAGTAGTAGTAGTGGCGTTGACTCGTGGATGGGTTGACCAGGAGGAAGTCAGCGAGGGTGTTGGTTAGGTGAAAACAGAGCAGACCGTGGCAGGAGCCCATAAACAGGTGGGTGTTATTGGTTTCCCCACCGAAATTCGGATCGTCGAAGAATCGGAAAGGAGCTCCCGGACGGCAGCATTTCAAGCGTTTGAGACCGGCGAAATGGTCGATTTGGATGAAAAGGCGGCGGTTGGAGTTTGTGTGGATGGAATGCTGTAAATGTCGTTTGGTGAAGTGGAGGTCGTCGATGATTTCGCGCCATTGTTTGGAGACGCACCGGGACCTGGCGAGGGTGAGCGTGGGGAGCCGGCAGAGGATGTCGGCGATGAGTTCCGGTGGAATGGATTGGGACATTGTTTTGATTTTTGCACTAAAATGGGGTGTGAGAGTGAGAGTGAGAGCAGGGGAGGGGAGGTTTTGTGGTTCCTTTTTAGTGTGTGGGATTGTCGGCCATATTTGTCGATATGCAGAGGGGGAGGATAGTGTTGGTCGGTGGGAAGACAGATGGCAATGGCGATAGATAGACGGGAGGAACTGAAAGGCAAGGCCAGTGCTCTGCCCTGTGTCCTCCTCCCTTTTGAGTAATTCTTTTTGGCACATTAGCACCGGTTAGTTTGATATGTTAGTTGGGATTTCCTACTAAGGTTGTCAACACGCGGGTTAACCCGGACCCGGTCGAGCTAGTGAGTCAAGGGTTAATGGGTCAATCGTTTTAGCCCGGTTTGGCCCGAAAATATAGAAAGAGTCATTATATTGCACTTATTCTCAGAAATTATATCAAATCTTATCTAACATACGAGTTATAACATATAATATTACACCAAAATAACATATCGTACTTAGATTCAACATATAGTGAAAATTCACACACACTTATATAACATAAATATTCAAATGTTCAACTTAGTATTCCAATGATTGAGTTAGGCGAAAAGAAAAATTGGAAAATAGGCACATTTAGCAAACTAAAGAAAAAAATGACACAATTTGACCTCCAACCCGGTACCTAATAGCGGTCGGCCCGGTGGGTGCGTGCGGCCCGTTTTTCTCACCGGGTCAAGGTCAAATTCGGTCGACCCGTGGGTCAACCCGCGGGTTGACAACCTTGTTTCCTACAATAATTTGGGGTTAATTGCATGGTTGGTCACTGACATTACAAAAAACGTTCATGTTTGGTCACTCGAAATATTTAAATCCATTTTTGGTCATTAACTTTACAAAAACCGTTCATTTATGGTCACTCTCCGTTAGCTGCCGTTAACGGCGTCCGTTAAGTGATGACGTGGCTGACGGATTCGCCTAATCACCACCTTTTAACCCGAAATTGACTGACCCGACCCGCCACTTCATTTAAACCCTCCATGTCAGCCAAACCTAACCAAACCTCTAACCAAACCAGACCAGATCGTTCAGCCGACCCACTTCTTCTCCACCACGTCGTAACCCAACAGATCGTTCAGCCGGCCATCGACGCCGCACCCGTCGAAGATGTACACGTGGCGGTCGTCGGCCGCGATGGAGTGGTCCGGTTGGCTGGCCCGGCATCTCCAGTCGAGAGCAAGGTCCACTGTTTGGCATCCGTGTCGAAGGCGTAGAGCTCGTTCAGCTCGTTGTGCTCGTTGTCCCTGCCGCCAAAGACGTAGATCGTCTTGCCGACGGCGGCCATCGTGACCCCGACTCGCGGCAGGGGGACGTCGCCGGTGGTTTCGGGAGTCGACCAGGTGAGGGTTTTGGAGATCGAAGGCGTAGATCTGATTGTCCACGGGGACGCGTGGTGCGAACTCGCCGTCGAACGCGTAGGCCTTGTCGCCGACTAGGGCGACGGCGTCGGAGCTACATGCGCTTGGCCCTTTGCCTTCTGTTCGAGCTGGAACAAGGGGGAATTGGAATTGGGGATTCGGATATACCAGATGGAAAAATTGGGCGTTAGGGTTTCAATCTTGGAGAATTGGGTTTTGATGGAATAGTAAAAAAGGGGAAATTGATGGGTAAAAGAAGCTGTCGAAGACCAGAAAGAACAAACCTCGATTGAAGAGGGAGGAGGAGGAGGAAGTCCTCGCCCTCAATCTCAAAACCCTCACCTGGTCGGCTCCCGGAACCACTGACGACGTCCCCCCGCCGCGAGTAGGGGTCACGATGGCCGCCGTTGGCAAGACGATCTACGTCTTCGGCGGCAGGGACACCAAGCACAACGAGCTGAATGAGCTCTACGCCTTCGACAAGGAAACCAACCAGTGGACCTTGCTCTCGACTGGAGACGCCGGGCCAGCCAACCGGAGCTACCACTCCACCGCGGCCGACGACCGCCACGTGTACATCTTCGACGGGTGCGGCGTCGACGGCCGGCTGAACGATCTGTGGGGTTACGACGTGGTGGAGAAGAAGTGGGTCGGCTGAACGATCTGGTCTGGTTTGGTTAGAGGTTTGGTTAGGTTTGGCTGACATGGAGGGTTTAAATGACGTGGCGGGTCGGGTCAGTCAATTTTCGGGTTAAAGGTGATGATTAGGCGAATCCGTCAGCCACGTCATCAATTAACGGACGCCGTTAACGGCGTTGGACGGCAGCTAACGGAGAGTGACCATAAATGAACGGTTTTTGTAAAGTTAGTGACCAAAAATGGATTTAAATATTTCGAGTGACCAAACATGAACGCTTTTTGTACCTTATCAAAAAAAAAAAACATGAACGCTTTTTGTAATGTCATGACCAACCATACAATTAACCCATAATTTGGGTATAATTTTAAGTTAGGTAACTTGATTAGATCTTAACAATTAAAATAAATTCTAATCACTTTCCATTGATTAAAAATGAAAGAATAAAATAAAACAAAAAAAAAAACAAATAACGGCAACTGGCGGTGCCGGTTGCTTTTAGTTTGCGGGAAAATTTCTTTCCCTTTTCTAACTTTTTTTTTGTAACTTTCCTTTTTCTATTTTATATCTTGTTTCTCTTTTTCTTTTTTCATGTTTATTTTTTCTTTTTGATTATTTAGTTATTGTACTTAAAACTCATTACGTAAAGTTTACGAAACGATAGTTAATTGTTCCGTAACAGTTAAATCACAAGCATTACATAAGGATTCCGTAATGGCTTAACACTTTACCTAACGCGAGGTTAATACTCATTACGTAAAAAATCCCTCAATTACGTAAAAGTTACGGAACATAGTTATTTCTTACGTAATAGTTAAATCGGAAGCGTTACGTCAGGCTTCCGTAATGACATTTTACAACTGTTACGTAAAATACACATCCATTACGTAAAGTTTACGAAATGATAGTTAGTTGTTCCGTAACAGTTAAATCACAAGCATTACGTAAGGCTTCCGCAATGACTTAGCAGTTTACGTAACGCGATGTTTATACTCATTACATAAAAACGCCCTCCATTACGTAAAGGTTACCGAACATAGTTATTTCTTACCTAATAGTTAAATCGGAAGCGTTACGTAAGGCTTCCGTAATGACTTTACACTTTACGTAATGCGATGTTGGTATTCATTACGTAAAATAACTGTCCATTACGTAAAGCTTCCGTAATGACCTTTTACAACTGTTACGTAAGGTAACCATATATGTTATGTAACCATTACGTAATGTCTATTGTGTTTTATGTAATGCGACCTGTGAAACCTGCTATAGCAGGTAAGAAAATTCAAGTTACCTTAGGAAATCCTTACAACAATATGTAGCACAAATCGTGACATACAGGAACACGAGTTCAAACAAAATAAGAAACACAAAAAATATATATATAAATTGCAACCCAAGTGCAAACTCTGTGTATTATCATGTAGCTACAGCTACAAGACAAGTTGATTTAGTTGCCGGTAGGAGACGGGGTGAGGATGGGGATGGAAGGAATGGTGGCCGGAATAGCCGGGATCGATGGGAGATTGCTTGGCAATGGCGGCAGAGAGACCTTTGGGATGGAAGCCGGAATCGCCGGAATGGTAGGCATGGCTCCGGCGCTGGGAAGTGGAGGCAATCCACCGGAAGGAAAGGAAGGTTGTGGCAGAGTCGTCGTCGGCTGAGGCAGAGATGGGACGGTGGCGCTGGGCAGAGGAGGCAGCGTGGGCAGATTTGGGAGAGCTGGCATTTGGAGGAGCTGCCTCGCCGCCAGCCCCATTCCCATGTTGGAGAATGACACAGCAAGGAAGAGAGCAACGAAGAATAGCTTGAAAGAGGCCATCTTAGATTAGGCGTATGGATTTAGATTGTTGATTCTCTTGTTTTGTTTCTTGCTAGTTCTCGATGAAATTTGTGGTGCTTGGACGACGTGTATTTATAGGTAACTGAACGCATTGGTTGGTGAAATGGGTAAAAGGATTTTGTGACTTTAGGTTGGAAAAGCAAGACAGGTGGTTTACCTTCTAAACTCTAAAATGCTGAATCTGATTGAATCATCATTTTCTGGAGGGAAATGGAAGCGAGTCAGTGGGTGTTGATAATCAACCTTGTAGACCGTCTTTCTGGTTGGTAACCTGCCAATTTGCCAGTTTGAGGGTATTAAAACATGAGTAGTTGTTTGAACTCTCTGGTCTCCGGATGTAACAATTGGCGGTACCGGAAATGCATAATTATTAGAAGTCTTACTCCGGATTTAAGGTGGAAGCACCAAAAGACCTGGCTAGAAAATTACTCTCCTGTTATTAGGCGGCAAATGAGCCGAGCCGAATCGAGTCGAGTTTTACTTCAGATTGAGCTCAGCTCGTTTATAAACGAGTCGAGGTCGAGCTCAGCTCGTTTATTAACGAGCCGAGTTGAGTCGAGTTCGAGCTAGCTTGTTTACTAAAATCTTGACTTTTATTTAGCACTTCATTTTGTATGTCATGGTACATATGTATTATTTTGTTAGCTAATCTCATATTATACTTTGCTGGTATCATATATCATTTAGTTAATATTTTTAACTACTCCATTTCATGTTATTTTATAGTATCGAAGCAATCTATGATACATAATTTCTTTTTAAAGTAGAAAATAAGATACATTTGCTCACATACTCAATGTGTTAAACTTTATATATGGTGAGATAGATAATTTAACAACCATATGAATTAAAATCATAAGATATAGATTGATTCATCCATAAGTTGGTAATCGAGTTGGCTCTCTAGCCACATGTTGAGACATATCATGAGCTCTAAATGAGCCAACTCACGAGTTTAGCTCAATAAGCCCCCGAGTCGAGCTAGTTCGCGAACTTCACGAGTTGAACAAAGTTTAGCTCATGTTCGGCTCGTTTATTAAAGAGCCGAGTTTCGAACGAGCTTTTCTCGAGTCGAACGCCGAGCCGCTCGCGAGCAGCTCGGCTCATTTGCAGCCCTACCTGTGATCTGAGCAATTCAATCTCCTATAAGTAAATTACAAAACTGAATACAAGACGATTGTTATTGTGACATACGAACTTGTTTGTAAATGACAATAGTGAGACTGGCGTCATCGAATTTAATAACAATGATACTTATTACGTTCATGATATCAGACCAATTGAAAATGTCTCCTTGAATTTTCACATTAATTGGATATGGATTATTGAGATTGTAGAAATTATTCATTATCCAAGAAGAAAAAATATATTGACATAGCGAACTACTATTTTCCTGCCTACCCAATGGGCGATGCCTTTCATTTGCTTGTTTTTCCTTCTTCTATAATTTGTTATTTTTTAAAATTGTATTGGGTTGGGTTGCTACTTTTTAATATTTATTTATTGTCTGGACTTTGTCTGAGGACCAACACTTTTCAAACAATAAAAGTCAGTCGTGATCATCTGACCTTTGATCGACAAACATTTTTCAAATTTAGAAGTTATACATGGTTTTCTTAATTTTTTCTTTCATGTATCTAAATTTTTGGGCCACATATTCTATGCATGCAACATTTTTCTTTCAACATGGCGATAATAACTTCACATGAAGGATTCAAATTATCATATATAATTAGTTAAATTTGAGTGATATTTTACTTATTTCTCCACTTAATGAATATATATATAACTCAACAAACTTACGAGTTGAATATTATGCAATGTTGTTAGAACCAAACCATAGTATGAACCAAATGTAGAGAGTAAGTCGTATTTTATTGGTTAACTGGTATGAAATCATTCAACCCCCGTTTTCACAAACTGGTAGCTTATAATAACGGAAATATAGGTTATTTAGACAAGAATCATTCAATCTAAATTTTTTGAATGAATTAAAATTGTTATTAAAAATGCATGCAAACAAATTTGTTACTAAGTATTTCAAAATGTGAATTTATTCATAAATAATTAGTATAGAGTTAATTATTTTACATTTTAAAAGGTTTATAATATAATTAATAAGAAGCTTGTAGCATAGTTGATAAACAACTTACTCCTCTAAAGAAAAGGTTGTATGTTCAAATCCTCCCTCCAACATATTTCAAACAAAACAAGCGTGGGAGGAGCTCAAATCGGTCAAAATTGATCAAGCGGTTTGATCGATTTGCTAGATTAACCATTCGGACTGGTTGTTGGCCGGTCAACTCTCAACAAACGGCTACAACTTTCACCTGGGCCGAACAAGGGGTCGGTTTCCAGTTTTAGTCGTCAGACAGAACAGTGACTAGCTACGATTTAATTCGTATATGGGTCTCATGTTTCATATTGAAAAGTTATTCTAAAACTAAATGAATCATTCGAACTCTTAACATATGCCACAAAATTGATATTAACAATTTCGGTTTACTTGATAAAGGCTGGTCAATCTTTTTATTGCGAGAAAATGTTATCAATTTGTTCATTGGTAAATGATAGTAGCAAATCAAATGTATTTCTCAGTGCTGTGAAAACCGAGCCGAGCTGGCGGCCGAGCCGCCAAAACCGCCAACCGGGCACAAAACCGGCTCGGATGAGCTATTTAGCCGGACTAGTTCTTTGGGGCGGCCGGCGAGCGGCCGAAGCGGTTAACCGCTCGAGCCGGTCGTCCGGTTTTTTACATTCGACCGGTTGGTTTAATTAAAAAAAAGTTCGAAAATTAAAGGGGGTCGGGGCGGGCTGTTCTGCAGAAGCAGAACCCTAATTTTTTTCATTCTTCTTCGTGGAGACAAGGAAGCGCCGCTTCCGACTCCAAATCCGTCTCCATCGCCGTCGTTCCCCGTCTCCATCGCCGCCGTTCCTCCTCGTTGCCGTTCCCCGTCTCCATCGTCGTCGTCCCCATCACCATCTTCCCCAGCTCCGTTCCTCCTCGTCGCCGCAAATCCATCGTCGCCGTTCCTCCTCGGCGCCATCGCCATCTTCCCCAGCGCTGTCTCCATCGTCGTCTTCCCCGTCGCCGTCCTCCTCGTCGCTGTTCCTTCTCGTTCTCGCTGCCGAGGAGGAAGACGGTAGAAGAAGGTAGCTAGCTCCTTCTCGTTCTCGCCTGCCCGCCGATTCCCCATCCGATTCACCATCGCTGCCGAGGTAAAATGGACAGTAATTGGCATTTTCACTAATTTAATTAGCAATTAGTAGAAGTAGGTAGCTAGCTACCTATCTAGGGATGAGCTATAAATTACTTACAAAATCCCAGAGGTAAGTGAAGGAAACGTTAATCGCATTTTATTTGCAGATTTGGAATGCGGTGACTGCCATTTTCCTTCAATCAGTTGCTGAGTGCTAGCAAACTGTGGATCCCTTAAGTGCATTTTTCTTAATCTAGCTTATGTTGCTCACTGAGACTTAAAGAAGTTTGTTTCTGTGGGCTGATTCCCATTTTATTTGCTGATTTGATCTTTCTTTTGTAGATGAGTACTCCAAATCCATATAGTGGTACTCAATCAACAACACCAAGCTCTACTGCTTCAACTGGGCAAGCTGGTCGAGGAAAGAATGATCCTGCTTGGAATTACATCCAAGAAATCAAAGATGATAATGGGAAGGTGCTGGCACTCAAATGCATGCTATGTGGAATTGAGAAAAGGGGAGGGGGGATTCATCGGATGAAAGAGCATCTTGCTCATTCTACAAAAGGGAATATTGTGAAATGCTCAAAAGTTCCCTATGATGTGCGCTGAGATTTGCAAATATTCTTAAAGAATATGATGTAAAGAAGGAAGGGAAGTCGAAATCTAATGATCCTATCATTGGTGACAAAGATGATGATGTGGTTGAGTTAGCGAGATCACAGGCAACTAAAAATGTTAGTGACTTGATGAAGAAAGCTAAGGGAGCTGACTTTTTTGCTTCAAGAACCACTCATGGGTCGCAACCAAGCATCAAAAGTGCAATGGCTACTAAGGATGCAATTCATAGAGCTCATATGATTTGTTCAGAATTCTTCTATGAGAATTGCATACCTTTTAATGTAGCTCACTCAGATAGTTGGCAGAGGATGTTTGATGCTGCAATGGCTATTGGTCCAGGATTTAAGGTACCATCATATCATGATTTAAGGGTGCCTTTACTAGTTGATTGGAAGAGAGAAACCTAGCTAATTGTTGATCAACACCGAGCCGTTTGGGGACAGCGTGGGTGTACTTTAATGGCTGATGGTTGGACTGATCAACAAGGTATAAGTTTGGTCAATCTATTGGTCTATTGTAGTAGAGGTCTTTGTTTTCTTAAATCTGTTGATGCAACAACGGTTGTGAAGACTGCAAAGAACCTTTTCAAGATATTTGATGAAGCAATTCAGTGGATTGGCGTGGGCAATGTGGTTCATGTGGTCACTGATAATGCAGCTAACTACAAGTCATGTGGTAAGATTATCCATAAGACCTATCCACATATTTATTGGTCTCCATGTGCAACTCATTGCATGAATTTGATATTGAGTGATTTTGGAGATTTGGAGAATGTGAAGGCTGTCATTCAAAAGGCTAGAAGAGTCACTGTGTTTGTTTATAATCATTCTCCTGTGATTAATTGGTTGAAAGCAAGGCCAAAGTGGAAGCAAATAGTGAGACCTGGTGCAACTCGCTTTGCTACTAATTTCCTCTCCATGAAGAGTGTGTATGAGAACAAGGTTGATTTACAAGCTTTAGCAGTGAGTGAGTTCTTCAATGCAGATGAATCATCTAAGACTGCAAAAGGAAAGGCGGTGAGTGCTATATTGTTAGATGCTCAGTTTTGGGGTGATTGTTTGGAGATGTCAAATGTGGCTCAACCAGTCATGAAGTTGCTGAAGCTTGTGGATTCAGATGAGAAGCCAACTCTTGCTTATGTTTATGAGGGAATGAGAA